GTGTGCAAATCTATCATTTTCCAATGAGAGATGCATTATTCATATTACCTGTAATTTGCTGTGAGTTTCTTGTGAAGTCGCATAAAATCATCTGTAGTTACTGCTGAAGCCTTTCCAATAAAACAGGCCAGCCATAAGATACAGAGAAACTTTTGGTACATCCTTGAGGAATTCATAAACTCAGAGTGTTTGACCTGAAAAGGAACAATTATACTTTTTAAAATCACACTGTTTATTTAGTGATTTTCTCTTCGTCTTTGTCTGTCTCTTGGGATGTATATGATATAACCTGGGTTGGCTCTGACAGACCTAGGGTATTTCTCACAGACCCAGTGCATTTCTGACAGCTATGGACAAAGCAGCTTGCTTCCTAGACGAGTTATAATGTGCCGATAGGGGCATAAACTAATTCTTTAAAGATGGAATTTTAAAAATGTACAAAGAGATGTTCGAAGACAGATACCATAATATGAAAAATATTGGCCGCTCCTCACCTTAAACAATATGTCACCCTCTCCCCCCCCCCCCCAAAAAAAAAGAAAAAAATAACAAAACAAAATGTTTCTCACTCCTCCAAAAGACTTGGTTAAAACAGATTGAGAGCATGACAGAATTCAAAGAATTTGCAGTGCTTTTTCGGATGCTGTTGAAGTTCTCATTATCTGCAACAATGGTAAAACAACAGGAAGGTTTACGGAGAGAGGTATGCAGACATAGCACATCGCCTTTTTAATCACACACCACTGTTTCCGAGAACAGATTTAGAACGTTATTCTTAGAAAGCAGTTCTGATATCCAAGAAACAGATTTGACAACAGTATGCGAGACACCGAGCCACATTGGTTCTCTCTGAATATTTTTCTTGTCAGCTCAAAATCTTTGCAGGCCGTTTTTGAAGCTAAAATTTATGCTGCTAATTAACCATTGTTGCCATTAGATTTTTTAAAACATGTTTGATAATCATACAAAAATATCGACGTTTGCTTCTTCTCAAGAGCATGCATTAGCCTTGTGTGCTAACGCTAAATCCAACAATATTTGCTCTACCATCAGCTACATGACAGCGCTCCGGGAAAACGTGTTTTGGAAATGTGTGCTTGTTGGAAACAGGTGCATTAACACAATAATGATGTCACGAATGTGGGCTTTAGAAACTACGTCGACGTGATTATATTTGTTATCTAGGGATTAAAAAATCAAGATGGACAAATAGAGAAATAAGTGGGATATCTGTAACTTTGAGTTGAGGATTTGAGAGAATATGGATGGCACAGTAAATTGGACGAACCGACAAGACAAAACAGTAGTGTCACGTAGATCTACTATCCTCAGAAATATTCTTTGTGTAACGATGAAAGCCCAAATCCCCCCCCCCTCCCTCACCTCTTTCTTCTACCCTCACGTTCCTAACTTTTTCCAATCCAAGAGGTGATAAGTGTGCTCTTAAACCATTCATTTGTCTTTTACTTTATGAAGAAAACCATTCAAAATTAGTATTTTTTCGACTACTGCAATTTTTAAGTCCCATGAACTACAATGTGACGCGTACTGAACAAATAAGTTAAGTCTCAAATTTTAGACCGATCGACAAACAAACGCCAAGTTTATAGATAATATTTTAATAGTTTGTAAGTAAGGGTCGTCTCACAATTAGGTCAAAGTATGTAGTCTAAGGGCAATTAGTATGTTGAGTACTAGATAATATGTTATAATGTGTGGCGTCGGCGGCCTAGTGAGTAGGCTACCGGACTCGTAATCGTGAGGTTGCGGGGTCAGGGGTTCGAGCCGCGGGCCCGACGTTGTGTCCTTGGGAAAGGCAGTTTACACGAATTTTCCTCACTTCACCCAGGTAGAAATGGGTACCCGGCCATAGAAATCGAATGATCTTGTCAGTATGTTAGTGTTTTAGCGCCTATAAATGGCTGCTTGCACTGTATGCTTCCCAGGACGTTGAGTTTGTTTCAGAATGCTCTCATGTCTGCTGGGGTAATAGTATTGATTGTGAAGCGCATAGAGCTTGCTGTTGAGCGGGAATTTGCGCCATGCAAATGCTGTCTATTATTATTATTATTATTATTATTATTATTATTATTATTATTATTATTATTATCATATTATGTAAGGGTTGGCTAGGGCCACAATGGCTTACCTAGTGGGCCGCGAGTTACACACCCTCGATTTAAACTGCGCCTTGCGTATTGATTTCAGTGTTTCGTCATCCTGCAAAAGTTGAGGCCTTATCTTTCATATAAACTTTCATAAATAACTAATGTGTACCTGGCAGAGCGTTCAGAACAGATACAGTAGATATTATCAAATATTGAGGGTGAGTGTATGGGTTTAACGCCTCTACCAACACTATTAGGTTATTTAGGAGACGGAAAGATATAATCATCATCATCCAGTGCTAGATCTGCGACAGCCATCGGCTCGGATGCTCTCAAAAAAGCTATGTTTCCCTGACTTCCCCTGTTAACCATTTGTTTAGTTCCCTAAGTTTGTTGTTCTGGGCCTACCCCTGCCTCGCTTGCCCTCAATGTTGCCAGTGAGAGCTAGATGTTCAAGACCCCTATGTCTATTCAGGTGTCCCAAAAACTGCATTTGTTGTTTCCTGATTGTTTTTAAACATTGAGTGTCCCACGTGGGCTTCATCAAGCACAACCTCATTTGATTTCTTTTCCTTCCACGATACTCATAGCAGTCTCCTAAGAAACCACATTTCTGTTGCTTCTATTTTATGTTCACTGTCTTTAGTGATTGGCCAGCATTCACAGCCATATAGAAGGGTTGACCAAACATAGCATTTGTTTTATTTAAATTAGCCTTGGCCATTGTAGTTCTCCGTTTTATTTCTGTGGAACATTTGGCCTCAGATGTTATCATATATCCTAGATATTTAAACTGTTGGACTTGTTTGATCTTTTCACCTTTGCTAAGGAGATTACAACTAGGATTTGCTGCTTTTTTTATATTACCATGCATTCTGTTTTCTTTACAGTCAACAATAATCTTATACGTTCACTTTCTATTACAATCGTATCTAGAAGCAATTGAAGGTCCTTTTCAGAGCCTGCTATAAAAACTGTGTCATCTGCATACCTGTTGTTATTAATATATTTACTTTGAGACCTAGACATTCTTCTATGTTTCTAGGATTGTTTCACTGTACATACATGTTAAAGAGTTCTGGAGACATAACACATCCTTGCCTCACTCCTCACCTAATCTGCTTATATTCACTGTATTCTCCATTGATTCGTACAGCAACGTTTTGGTCCCAGTACAAATTTCTGATAATTCTTAGATCTTTTCCATCTATGTCTAGCTTTTCCAGTATTTTAAATAGCTCATCATGTCTAACTTTATCGAACGCCTTTGAATAATCTAGGAAGTATAAATACAGATCTTTCTGTGCTTCAATACATCGTTCCATTAACATTGTTAATGTGAATATAGCATTTCTGGTGCCCTTGTCAGGAACAGAGCCGAATGGCGTTTTATATATCTCTGGTCTTACACTTTTCCTCAATCTTCCCATATTACTCGCAGCAATATTTTTGTAAAATGACTCATAAGGCTAATTGTTCTTTGCATATCACTCTCAGTGGCACCTGGTGTATTAGGTAAAGCCATAAAAACTGAATTCATCATATCTTCTGGGAGGGATCTCACTGCTGTCATAAATAGCATTTAGGAGCTTTGCTGTCATTTCAGTGCCTAGTTCTTCAAGCTCGACAATCACTTCAACTGGAATATTATCTGGCCCTGTGGATTTTCCTTGTTTCATTTTCCTAATGGCTGCTTGTACTTCTGCTTTCAGTATTGGTGGTCCATTTATTTCATTCTTTATTATCGGTTTTTCTCCTCTATTATCTTTGAAAAGTTCTTCTTCTATGTATTCTGACCAGCTGTATTCTGACATCCCCGTTGTCCATTAAAATATCCCCTCCCTTTGATCGTATGCATCCTGTATCTGAGCATCCTTTTATCCCACTCACTTCTTTGATTTTGGAATGCATGTATTTGCTGTCTTTGTTTTGGTTCTTCTCTATTTGTTGGCACTGATCTTTTATCCATTTTCTTTTGCTATGTTGCATTTTTTCTTTATTTCACTGTTTAAGATGTTGTACTTTTCCCCATTTCATTTTGCCTTTCCTCTCTCTTCCATTAGTTGTAATATGTCCTGGGTCATCCATTTTTTATTAGCTTTTTTAACTTTCGGGGGAATATTTTCTTACACAGCTTCCATTATTGAGTCTTTCATTTTCCTCCATAGTTCTTAAAAAACCTAACAGTGTTGATAGGGGCGTTAAACCTATACCATTTCACGGTTATGTTTTGTTTTACTATATCGTCCGTATCCGTCTTTAACAAGTGTGTCTGCCAAATATCGCCAAACACTTTTTTTTTAAAGAATAATTTCTATCTTATTTTTTTCCAGAAATGCCCACATTTGTGTAGAGTGTTCATTTTGCTTATTACATTGTCATCAATGGTAATGACGTTGGCATAAAAAGCTTGTTCACCTACCTCTGACCGCGGAAAAAACTAGACAAAAAACAAATCTCTCTGTTTAATCTTCTCGGGTCTTTCCATGCAAGTCTTACCCTACGTGTCCACTGAGACGGATACGGCCCGACCTTTTGCCGGGAGGAAGAAAATCGGTCGGGTCGTTTCCGTCTTGTGTGTCCACCAGTTCGGACAAGACACGTCTAGTCTGTTGGCCTACTGGCCGTCTTATTCCACACACTGTGTCCCAAGGGTGTGTCCTCGGTACAGGGCTATAAATAGTCGAGGTCAATGAATCCAAGGCGGGAATAAGAAATGAATGGATTTTTAAAGGAAAATTGGTAAAATTGTTTATATGAATTTAAACCAGGTGGTTTGCGCGTAGACTTTGCTAGTTTTGAGGCGCTGATTACGAATATGACATAAAAATTTTAATCCGAACTCAAAATTTGAATACTTTTTTGCTCCAGTGGGGCCTATGGCTCATGAGTCACAACCCATCCCGGCTAAATTTGAACAAGCGTCTTTCCAACAGACCCGTCTTTTGTCGGGGCGTGTCGTATCTGTTGACACTGCCAAACGGATTTTTCACTGATTTCTTATAGGGGGTGCCCACATACGCGATCTGGTCAGGTCGGGTCGGGTCGGGCCCATCGGGTAGTCAGGGCTAGCTATATTGAGGGCGCAAAGCGGCCATCGTGGCACAAACCGATCGACACGATCGGTGACCTACAAAAACAAACGCGTTTGTTTTCTGTCCTGCGAATCGCACGATCGTGTGGTATGCAACCAATCACAACACGTGTCCATTGTGACCTATGAATACATTAAGTAGGCTGGGAATTCCCGGTTCCAGTCTCACGCCTTTGAGTTTGAGAGTCTTCTCACTTCTCACAGCTGTCGCTGGTTTGGAGCACTCATAGGCCTAGTGGAAGAGGAAGACGAATAAGAAGAAGGAGGAGAAGCACTACAGAGGGAGGGTGGTGAGAGTGACTGGGAGTGAGAGAGATAAGTATAGAGAGATATAGATCTATGCAGAGACCTAATAATGTTTACATTGCTAGATCTAGGTCTCTGATATATATGGGAAGTGAGAAATGGACAAGAAAGGAGATAGACACTAAAGCAAGCAAGCACTCACACGCACGCACACACACACACGCACACACACACACACACACACACACACACACACACACACACACACACACACACACACAGAAGGACACAGAGAGATGGAGTGCGGGAAGTCCAAGAGCACCGTAGGCCTACCGGTACTTAATGTATTCATGGGCCAAAGGTTCAGCCAATCGTAGCCCGATTTACGCACTCTGTGTAGTCGCATGTAGGTCAAAGGTTTCCCTACCTTAACTTCCAGGTCGTCGGGTACAATCGCGGCGGGGTTGTAGTGTGCATTGAACCACAACCCGACACGACCCGGTCGCGTATGTGGGATTCCTCTATTAGGAAAATTATCGGTGTTCCATTTCAACTACCGACTATCCGAGAGACGGACGGAATCGGATCGGTTGATGTCCGTCGCAGTGGACACGGGCCCTAAAAGTTGGATGACAAACAGAATCTAGACGCCCATCACTGAAGGTCACTGCAAACTAAGGTCTTGATGCGTTTGGGGGTTTTTTGTTGTTGTTTTTATGTTAGTCTAAAACGGGAAGAAAAATAACTGGGAATTTTAATGGCAAATATCTGGAGTTAACCATAAGTTTTTCTAACACACACAGCGTCACGGATCTGCTGGGGATTACTTTCTCACGTTTGTGGAATGTTTGAAAAATCCGCCGGACTTGTATCATAACAACAGGCCATTAGATCTGGTACGAGATCCCGCCAGACTGCACAAACATAATTATTATTTAGTCTAAAATCAGAAAGCTTTTACATTGTTTTCCCGTTCAGGTGATAAACGAAACCGGGTATTATTGTAATTGCTTGAAATCTAACAACGACGCGAGGACTGTCAATACGGACTGGGTGCTTACAAAACAGTAGGTGCGAATACAAAAATGTACTCTCGCCAGAATTCTGGCCAACGTACATTTTGTTTCTGCACTCTCGTGGCTGGAAGTTTATATATGAGAGCAGTATATTTATGTCGGAAGCAGAAACGGCAACTTCCATAGGAAGCAAGTTTAAGCCATAACTGTTACTTCTTGTTGAATACTTCAAAAACGTTAGGTAAGAAAAATGTTTGTTTGATTTGTTTGTTGTTTTTTCGGGGGGGGGGGGGCTGCTGCTGTTGTTTCATTTATTTTGACCAAGATATAATATGTAGCTCTCTTCAGGAAAAGCTGAAATATAGTCGATCCTGCCCAAGACAACAACTCATTCTCGGGGTGAATGGTGGCCATCCTTGGCAGGGTTTTTTCTTGTTACTCACTTTAATTTCTGTCCAGCACTCTTTCATACCTTCCTGTGGTATCAACTTTCGAAATAACTAATGTGTTCCCGGCAAGGCGTTCTACACTTAAAAAACAATAATAGATATTATCAAAAAACTTTTTTGTTTTTCATTCTATAAACTAAGCTAGCTTGTTTCAGAGGATGCATTTCCATAGTCACTTGCATTTCCACTGTCACGTATGTTTATGTTATGACTGCCCATTATCAGAGAGAGAGAGGGGGGGATGGAGAGAGAGAGGGGGGGGGGAGAAATGGAGAGAGAGATACAGAGACAGAGAGAGAGAGAGAGAGAGAGAGAGAGAGAGAGAGAGAGAGAGAGAGAGAGAGAGAGAGAGAGAGAGATGAGAATCATATATCAATCTCTCTGCCTGTGTCTTATGATGCAAAAGACCAAACCAATTGCATTATGCTGACCCGTCCCACCACCCCCTTTCCCATAATATACGCACACTCAATTCCTTTTCTACGAGGTTTGGTCCCATTATAGATTATAGATTCGTCATCTTCATTTATTGTCCTCAGATTACACGGATCTGGGCAGGATGTTTGTGTGTGCCATCAAGCAACAAAGCGTTGTCTGCTGCCTTCTCATGCTGAATTTTATTGGTCACGTCTTCCCAACAAGGACTGTCGACGATTACTTTCGGCTTCGTGAGAAACTCACGCAAAATAAAAGGTCAGACGAATAGCATTTTATTTTGATAAGAGTTTGTTTTAAGGCACTTGCAACACAGAGAGACCATATACGACTCATACGTGCCGATATTACTAATCTGCGTTGCATGTGCCGTAAAACTATAAAAACCGATAATTATACCTTGGCATGTTGATTGCATTAAGGTATAGCAAGAGTGCTCGTGGATATGAATACAGGTTTAGCGTAGTAAAAGACTGTTGAAAAAACAGAATAAATACCATAATATACCGTTATGAGGGTGTGGTGGCGGAGCGGTTAATGCGCTCGTCTCCGAAGCGGAAAGTCCAGATTCGAGCCTCGGTTCGGACACGGATTTTTTTCGCCCCCTCCTGCCCACCCAGCAGTAATGGGTACCTGACTTCGAGTTGGAGAAGTAAAGGCGACGTGGAAAAGAACTGGCCTCCCTACCACAATATACCGAAGGCCCAGGAAGTTGTCTCACTAACAAGGCAATCCCCAATGTCCGGATCGGATGCGGGAACAACTTTGACTTTCACCGTTACAATAACTAAAGAGATGAATATGCATACTATATGAACTGTGTGATGAAGAAGCCTCGTAGATAATTAAGTAAACTATCGTGGAATGCAATAAATAAGTAAATAAAGAAACTGATATTTCTTAAAATAAGTTATTACAATGATTATAGTATAAGCAATACAATAAATAAGTAAATAATGAAAGCCTGTCATGTTTTTGTAATCGTGACATTATGCTTATTGAAAGCATGTTCTGGGAATTTTTAGGTCTAGTGCAAAAAAGTGTTCACTATTAAATTAGTTTCTTGTCTTGTAAGCAAGTTTTGCTACTTAAAATGCCATTGGTGAGCTGAGACGTAGGCCATATTATGCGTATGTAAAATGTGTGTGAGAAGCAGGAAGTGCTCAGAACAATCCCATTTTCCTCTGCATGACTGAGATTTATAGTATTCTATAAAATAGATGTATGAAAAAACGATTTTAGGGAGGGGGGGACTACTTTATAAACTTATCTAGGTAACTATGACCTTTGAGATAAAGTCGTATAGCAAGGAGGTATACCAGGAAAACATCTCTAAAACGTAACGTTACTTTTTTGTTTAAATCTACGGTTACCATGGTAACGACGGCCATATTGAAAGTAACGAATTTTCATAAAAGTAGAAAGATTTTTTTATATTTACCAACCAAATGTGTTCAAATTTTGTAGATTGATAGATATACTTAATACGAGATTTTGAACAGTTATTTCTTGGATATCTTGAATAGGAAAAAGGTTAGAGATGAATAAGTGACATAACCCATTCATGCCTCTTAATTCGATTACATAATCATCCATAACTTGTTTATGAATGCATCGATTTTCTTTTCAACCTGTACAAGGTTAGGTTACGGTGTGAATAACTAGCCCTGAAAATGTCATTGAAATCAAATAGAAAATAAAAAAGTAGATGAGAAAAAGCTACCAAAATTTGAAGTTTTCGGAAAAACAACATTTTGTTCCATAATAAGCAAAATATAAGTTCAAGGACAGAAAATGTGACTGATGTTGATTACTACACAAAGATCTAGACATTTTCTAGATTTACAAGTAGTTGAAGTATTATAATACGTAGAAAGTCCAGATACCATAAATTGACCCTAAATCGTCAACTTTAAAAGCACCCCCCCCCCCTTCCCATATCTTGCTTCTAGTATTGTGGGGAAAATATGATTAATTTAAGACAAATCGTTACAAATTGCAGTGCAAAGTATGCGTTACATTGATTCATCCGTATAAGAGATATCTGAACTTAAGTTGCGTCACGAATATATTTGTTTACCACACTTTAGTCTGACTCAATCGCTTTCTTATCCCTCATGCAGCATTCACGTTCGGCCTTTGAGAGACCAGTCGGAGCCGATGAACGTCCACTTCTTCACAAAGCTCCTGTCTGTTGTTGAGGTGGACGATGTCCGGCAGTTGGTCACTATGATCTGGACCGTCAGGCTTATCTGGTATGACAGAGTTACTGAGTTAACATACCTTTAAACACTGTAATGTTAACACTAATTAGACCACACACACATTAGCAACATATTTTTGACTTGTCGCTCGGTTGCCAGTATGTAAATTGGACAGTTTTCACCCTTTTGACTCGCGTCACCGAAAGTGGCGTCATACTTTGCAAACGAGCAATGTGAATTTTTAATTCTTTCTGGTGGGCTTGGGGGGTAAGAGACTGATCTTTCGATTTACTACCCATCTCCAATAATATCAAGTCATTTGTGGAAGCTATCCAAACTCCTAGCGTCCTTGTTCTTCTATATAGCAAGATACAAACAACGCTGCACAGCCCTTTTTCAACAATTTAGATAATTTAGAAGACGGTCTAATTCAATCTGCCCGTCTGGGCCAACCCAGGATGAGCGGCATACGAATCCCGGAAGACAGATATACGTACTCAATGACAAGTTTCCCCACTTGGGAATCGAACTCCGGTACTCTGCGTGCAACGATATAAAATTTAACCGTTACACCACAGAGACCTGTACCGATTGACAGAGTTATGAATGTCAAGAAGAAAGAGTATATTACCCAGTGGTCATTGCAAACAGTTTCGTTAAATCTCGATTCAATACTGTTTGATACACTTTGAGGGCTGCCGTACTTGCTTTTATCTGAGAGGCGGGGGGCAAAAGCTACCATTTTTTAAAGAAATCCCCCTAACTGAAATAGGATTAGTTTTCTAGACTGTGTACCTCTGATAAAATTTGTGATCATAGCCAATCAGGAGGCTCCTCTGCATCACATGATCAGATCCTTTGTTAACATGCGGAGTGCTATGATCCTTCTTTCACTTTCGGGTCAAATATGATCAAGCAAAATAGTGTTCTGACCTGCGCTATTGCCCCAATGCGATCGGACCATACAGATTGGATTAATTTGATGTACAACTGTTTTAACCATTACACCACGAATGACAGTTTAAATTAGCGGTCTCGGGGCCACATTCCCTGCCTTGTAAAGGCGCCTGTTCTTATAAAGTGTATAATGACATGCTTAAAAATAACCCGTCTATAACTGTGACTCGAATTGTTAATGAAAATTCATTAAACTCTATAAGGAGGTTTTCGTCTTTAAAATCCTATTACATGTATTATTTCCTTCACTTGCCTTCCACAGTCTAGCTCACCGTCAAGAAAATATTTAATGCAATAATATGCTAACATGCATTAAAAGTGAAGACGATAAAATGTATACGTAAAAGACATTTAAGTCATAGGTATTCTAACTGGTGCTCTGCTATGCTTTAGTTATACAACAGCAAGATATTTTAAAAATAGTCAATCAAATAATATGATAACAATCGACCGATCAAAATCTCTATCTCTAAAAATCGCTCCCAATTTTCATAAACATCTTGGGAAACATTTTTGATTGAATATTGTGATAAACAAACAACCCTTCAAAACTTCCATCTCTTCAAACAAAACGTTTTGATAATTTTGTTGGAGGTGACTATTTACAAAACGGAAATGCATTATGTTCCCAGGTATGACGAGTCTTTAGAATGGGATCCGGCCCAATATGGAAACATCAAGACGATGTTTCTCTATGAAAACGAAATATGGATGCCACGCTATTACCAGATTTTCTCGCCAAACAATCTGGGAGATGTCTCGAAGTTGCCAGTGGATCATTTCGTGTTTCCAAACGGATGGGTAGTTTACAGATCTGTATTGGCGTATACAACGTCATGCTTTCTCGACATGACCTACTTCCCATATGACCTACAAAGCTGTTCCTTTAACTTTGCCGTATCGGACAGCACAATGGATACTATAAATCTTATCTCTAATGGTTCGTATCTACATAAGAGTTTACGTAATCATGTGGAGTGGCAGATGCTCAACACAAGTCATACGAATGCCGTGTATGGTCGTCCTGGAGAACAGTTTAGCGTCATAGAGGTCAACATTAACTTCCGACGTCGCCCTACATACCATGTGCTAGCTCTTGTCGTGCCCGCGTCTGTAGTCAGTTTCCTGAGTGTGCCGAGTTTCTTGGTGTCCGCGGAGAGTGGAGAGAGGCTGAGTTACTCCCTGACTGTCCTTCTCTCTTTGGCTGTCTACGTGAGCAGCACCAGCAGCCTCATGCCTCACTCATCCATCAAACTGCCTCTCTTATTGCTCTATTTGCTCATACTTTTCTTACTTAGCTCTCTGTGTGTTCTCGTCACCGTCTTCTTCCTCAGGGTCAGACAAGGACGAGTATACCCAGATCAAAATGGAGATAAATTTATCGTCATTCTCGGCTTCAAGTATGTCCTGACGCCGTTACCTAGACAAAAAAGAAGCGCAGACAAAGAGAAATCGAAGAAGACCAAGTATATCTCTACAGTTTCCCCTTTGGACAAGCACATCTCTGATTCTACTGGAGACGATAACATTACTAACCACGAGAAATATGATGTATGGGCAGAACATGTGTACCCAAATCGAGGAACAGAAATTAAAGATCCATTGACAGAGTTCATAGCACAGATGAAATCCACTCCATCAAAGAAATCTTCTCACACTGGATACAGCAAACAAGAAGACAAAACGGTTTCCGTCGATCCTGACCTCAACGAGCTGTGTCGTTTTGTGGACAAAGTGGCTCTGTACGTCTTTTTAATCTTTTACTTGTCTGTGACAACAGTTATGATGGCGCTTATTTTCTTCCAATGAAGAGAATCCGTTTTGTTTTTGGACTATCCATTTTAGTTTCCTTAAGAGTTTTACAGCACTTGCAGCACAAATAGGTCTATAAGCACCGATAAACATTATTGGTGTTAGCGTTTTTCTTTTCTGTGTTGTATGTCAAATCTAGTACGCTAACACCAGACCTGACCATCAATGATTTATTTGCTGGTGCCACTATAAATAAATCATTGATGGTCAGGTCTGGTGTTAGCGTACTAGATTTGACATACAACACAGAAAAGAGGGAGGAGAGATTAGGAAGATAGAATATCTAGTAAGAAAGAGAGAACAAAGGCCAGTAAAGGAAGACCTACAGGTGAAGAAATGGAAATGGATTGGGCATACCCGGAGGAGACCACCGACAAGCATCATCAGCCAGGCTTTGACGTGGAATCCACAAGGAAAACGTAAGAAAGGAAGACCAAAGATGACATAGAGGCGAGCGGTACAGGTGGAAATGGCAAAGGCGGGGACATCATGGAAACAGCTAGAAAAGGATGCACAGGACAAGCTTTGCTGGAGAAATGTTTTGATGGCCTATGCTCCACTGGGAGTTAAAAAGGGTAAGAGAAAGAGAGAGAGTTAGAAAATAAAGAGACAGCCAGTTTATTGTTCTTTAAAAGGTGGCACAACCCCTTGTCGGGGTGGGAGGGGTGTGCTTCGTTAGCTCTGTGGGTATCGCGGTGGACTGCTGGGTAAATGGCCCTGGTTCGAATCCCCGACTTGGCTTTCTTGAACCCAGGCCATTTGTGGAGATTTCAAGGTTTTTGATCAATTTGGCTCAGTCCCATCGGATACGGACGTTAAATTCGGATATCTCGCTTCTAGCATAACCAAACGATGTTGAAAGCATACTCTGACCGTCTCTTATCGATTTCTTAATTTTTTTCTGACGCCTATGTTGACTCAGATTCTTGTACATGCACCTATTACAATTATATATTGTATTACATCCAGATCTCTATAGTATGTATTTACAATTAACAAAAGAGGGTCCAACTAATGAAAGACATTCACAAACCCCAATTAATGGCATACCACATCGAAAATTTGTATTATGTCAAGAAGGCAGATAATTTTAATCTTTCTTTTAAGGAAAGTGGGGTTTTTACTACCCCGTCAACACAATTAAACTTGTTTAATAGATGGGCTTCTGACCCTGCCTGCTTGGTCAACCCTGGCTGAGAGGACACAGCATCCCAACAGAAAGACAGATACTCGATCAAAATTTTTCACCACTCGGGAAGAGAACTCGGGTCTCCTGTGTGTGACAGCGGGGCACTAAGCGCTACACTACAGATGCTGGTAGACAATCAATAATATCAATGATGAAGATTAAAAAATGTTTTGCCGAGACAATAATATACGGGTTGCCACAGTATTCTATAATGGCCTCATGGTCTCAGAGACTAAAACCAGTAAAAAATGTCAGATAAATCTTTTTCATCCTGTGGTAGAGACATGGATCTATTGAGAGATGTGGCTCAATTTGAGTTAGAAAATTCATCCTACACTTTAAAAGGTTTCTTTCTGTGAACAATAAGAATAGTCTAGACACTAATAACGCGTCTAGCGTTCATACAATAGTATCAGAATTGTCATTAGCCCACTTTCTATTCCTTGACAAACTTTCGTTTCTCTACTATAATATCATTGTGGAATGAATTACCGAATGATAGGATAGATTTTCTTTGTATTTATTTTCGTTTACTTGATGTCTAAAGCTGTAATCATATAACGATATTAGTTCATAAAACCTTTCCTAAAACAAATCTGACAGCACATGTGCACTCAGTGTATTAGACTTAATACATAATATGTTGTGTATAAATTAAAACTATCAACTTCTTGGCTCTTATAATAATTTTATTGGGACAGAAAATGGTTCTTGTACTTTATTTTTGCGGAAGTACTCAGTGATTATTTTATGTCATTATCAGTGTTGTACAATATTGTGTCACATTTTCTCTCCGACTTCAGATATAAAGAATAAAGCTTACACACTGCCCCGCGGTTGTCAGTTCAAGGAGTTTTGTGATTATCGTCACGTACATTTATACTCTTCGATTTTTTCAAATAGCTCACGTATAGCACATCATGCAAAAATTGATATGAACATACAATGTGTAAATGTGTGCTCTCTATAAAAGTACTTCTGAGATTGCATACCTTTTGTTTTAGGAATGGGATTGGCTAGAAGTTTCCTAAGTTCAGAATTTGTTTAAACCCTGATAATAGTGATTCCTTTTTTTTTAAAGTTGTTTCTCGTCTATGTGATAGTTTTACTCTGGGCGGGAATCTTAAAGATTCTATTACTTCTCCTGTTTCATTTCATGAAACCTATTTTTTCTCTTTTTTTTCTTTTTTTTTTCTTTTTGCTTCTCACTTTCACTGATGCTTCTGGTTCATTTGTTGGTGAAAAGGTGCAATACTATTGTCTTCACAACACAGATTACGACTTAAATAAATGACGGGGTTTAGAGTGGAGTATTGCTTACGGCATGGAGGATATTAATCTGATCGAGTCAAATAGTGTAAATGGTCCATGCCATGAACACGACATAATTAAGACTATTTAGAGGGCAAGCGACTTCGACCTTGTCTGCCAGGGACGACCCAAGTTAAGTGTTAGGCAACATTCCAACTGGTAAACTAAGTTATTCAAAGAAAATAAACTTTCCAAGATATTGACTTCGCTTCACATGCATTAAAGAACGATTGCAACGCAGATGCCTTTACAGATAGTCCATAACATGTCATCTCTTTACCAGTGAGAGCCCATAAGATTATTTACCTAGTCTGACGTGAGAGAAAAGGACAGAGACAGCGAGAAAAGAGAAAGAAAACAAGGACGTAAGAGAGAGGAAGGATAGCAGAAGAGACAGAGACAGAGACAGGGAGAGAAAATTTTGAGAGGGAAAGATTGAGAGAGAGCGAGAAAGAAAGAGAGAGAAAGAAAGAGAGAAGGAGAGA